CTAATTTCTAAAGTCACTACAAGAAATGTTATATATAGTGACATATAAAAAGTGTTACTATAAGTATAATATATGTAAGTATATATCTATTTGACATATATTTATATATACAATTTTAGTGTTGATTTTGAATGAGATTTAATAATATATTTTGTGTGTCACTATAACCTATACTCATATTTTTTAACAATATACCAATATATATGATATTTATTGTGTGAGTAAAAGTAATTTTTAATGACACAAGAAATGTTAAAGGCATTATTTATGAAACTTAAAAATATTTTGTAGGGACTAAAAATAAATGCATGAAAATTTTAATTCAATCTTCAATAAGACTGCTTTAATATTTATTATTAATTAAAAAAACAATTATTTGGAATGCCTAAACTTAAACCAACATTAGTCTAACGTTACCATTCTTTCAAACATGTAAAGTTTGCTTGTTTGAAGAAGACTTAAAAAAATATATATTTGGTTGGTGTATGTAAAGATGAATGAGACAACACTAGAGATATTACTTGAAAAGGTAAAGTTAAAAAATACTTATGAATGCTTCCATAGTGAAACATGTAGGTAAGTGTCTCACTCAAGAGACATCATACTTATTGAAAATAATAATACTTTATGATATAATTTGATTTACAATAAAAATTTAATATTTGAAAACTTTTGTTTTATATAAATATTGGAGTTTGCAATTACCGAATTAGCCTTCAAAACCAATAATCGTTGTTGAACCTGCAAAATGGTCGTATGCGAATAATTATTTTTTTTTTTTTTGAAAAGTTGACAAGATTGCAAATCGCAGCAAAGTAACGAGGAAGAGCATAGCATCCCACATTTGATATAAACCCAAGTTTACTATGTAAGTAAACTTTTAATGACTCAAGTTGTTAATGTCGGAAATGCCACAATTTATGAGGTAAACCACAATAAAAATGTGTATTTTTCTCTTCTTGCACTATATAATACAGTTGCATGGACATAATTTTTATAAATAAAAACATTTTTTTTATTAAACATTTAATACTATATTATAAATTAAAATACACTTTTTTAAAAGTGAGACTTTTATTTTTGTATACTTTATATTACCTTGTTTCTCTTTTTGCATTGTACATTTTTAATTCTCCGTAACTTATAATTTTTTTTTAATTTCTTTTATCTTTATATTATTATACTTATCTTTTTAATAGTCTATTTATTTATTCACCAAAAAAAGTCTATCCATTTTAATTTACACCTTTTAATTTTAATTTTTAAATTAAATTTCAATAATTATTTTTAAAACAACTATCAATAACCAAAAAAAATTATACCACAATTTAAATTAATTATTATAAACTAGTTAAAAATCAGAAACTTTGTGTCTTGTCTATCAATATTTTTTTATAGTTAGATTTAGTTGCATATTTAGTTACTATTTAATTAAAAATAAAAAATGTTGAAGGATTTAAGTATCATGAATCATGATTAAGGAGTTATTTTGTAAGATAATTATTGTGATTGATGAATGGTTTTCAGAATCGTTTAAAGGGAAAAATAATTTTAAAATGTTTTTATTAATTATGAGTATAGTTTACTATTAGTATAAATATAAAAGTAATTTATATAGTTAAATATATTTATTTATTAGAAAATTTAATTATAATATAATTTATATATTTATTTATTATGAATTTTAACATATTTTTATTCTCTAAAATAAAATCCTTAAATTGATGAATTAATTTTCCATTCTCTTTACTCTCCCAATAGAGATATTATTGACACTTTTTTTTTTCTTTCATGAGAAGTGCATTTATATGCCTTCTTCACAACTGGTTAAAAAACATGATCGATTCAAAATATAAATAAATATATATATATATATTATTTT